GCTCAGGTGGCTCTGCCTCTAGATAGGCAGAGCCAGCTGTCATTGTCAATCACGCAGCTGGGTGGGTCTCGACAGTAATGTCGGGATCCGTCCCGGCTGCGGCGGTGTCAGTATACTGCGAGCTGTAGCTTGTGGTATTATGAGCTTTGGGTCATGGGAGGACGCTAGTTTATGTCCTCCCTTGACCCTGAGGAGAATTATGGGGGACAAACAATAACCCAATAGTTCTCCTTTAAAGCAGACCTTTACACCCTTTTCACTGAATAAAATCACATCAGCATGCAGCTCTGCATGCTGATATGAAATCATCTTACATTCATTAGCTAAACAAACATAATTTTACTTTATTACAATTTTTTTTTTTCCACTTCCTGGTCCACTTTGAGCAAAATTATGTAATCTGTGCCCAAGCGTTGCATCCTGGGAAGGTTACATCAGCAGAATAATGGTGGGAAATCTCATCTGTAATCTCATGAGATTTTAGAGAAAGGCATTTTGCTCCCCTGAGATGATGTGCATGGTCACATGTCCTAATCACATGTGCCAGAGCTCCAGGAACTAAAGGGAGATTTAGTAACCTGCCCTTAGTAAAAATGGCCACTGTGAGAAGACTGGGGAAGAAAAGAGAAATAAGGTAAGCAAAGAATACAAAGCCGGCAATTTATCTAGAAGTATGTGTTTGTAGATTGTTATTACTAAACATTTCTAAAGGTGCATTTGTTGTTATTTTGTAGATATGGGTAAAGTTCCTCTTTAACGTTCACCACAATATATTATAGCCTTTGCTTTCAGTGCCCCCCTCTGCCTATTTTCTGCCTCTGCCATATTGTACAATATGAGTGCCTTCATCCCTGAGTCTTTGGCTTTTGCAGGCTTACTCTGGAACTTATCATCCAATGACCAGCTGAAGATCATGCTGATCCGCGATGCTCTCAGCACCTTGAACAAAAGCATTATCATCCCATGCTCCGGCTGGAAGGAGGGCGAGTACTCCAAGAACGACATGATGAACGACGTAGACATCTTTTACAATGCCACGGGTTGCCTCAGGTGATAATATGACGCTGTGCTCTGATGATTTCAGAATGATACATATTATGGGCTCACTTCACACAGCTATAGAACCAGTCACTCCACCATGTGACTGTCATTTTCAAATGTCATTAAACTGTCAATTTCTTGCGAATAAGGACGCTTATCCTGGTGTGTTAGCTTTGTGAATTGAGCCGAATGTCTGTCTGTTTTGATGACTGGTGGGAATTTTCTTCATATTTTTAAAGCAGAAGTCTAATTTTAGGTGGAGTTCGGCTTTAAGGGTGCATGCACATGGCAGTAAATGTTCATAGTATACAAGGCAGTCGTATTTTGTCTGCCGGGAATGACAGGCGTATTGTATGGCCGCCACCACTCAGCTTGTACAAATCAATGGCAGGCAGCGGATGTGCTCAAATATGTGCCAATCCGAGTGGCTATATATGGACAGGGCAGCATTTGCCTCCCCAAATGCAGACTGTCTGAGTTCAGAGAGGCTCATATCACCCTGTACACATGTAGCCGCTTGGATTTGCATATATGTGTGTGCATCCACTGCCGCATTGATTTGTGCATGATGACTCGCGGCAGCTGTACCCTGCACCCGGGGTTGTCCCTACACTTTTTGCCATCTGAGGTTGGTTGGTTGTGGTGCACATTGATTACGGCTGGCTCCGTCCAGCTGTCAGAAGCAGGCGCTCGGCCAGCTTCGACTTTCAGCGCGGCTCAGCCGAGCCAAAGCATATGCGTTCGGCTCAACTGAGCCGCTCGGCCACGTTTGGGAGCTGTACGGGCTATAGTGAATAGCCCGTACAGCAGCCGTTCGGTTCTACTGAACCGAAGGGGTCCTGGGGCCGAAGCTAGCCGAAGGATCGGCCGAAGCTATGGCTAGATCCTTCGGCTGCTTCGTGAATAGACCCCATGATAATATGTATTTTTAAAAAGAACTCCGGGCAAATAAAATCTTAACCCTTGCAGTGGGGCTACACCTGCACTGCAAGGGTTAAGTGCTTGTTTTGTCTAGGGGACCTAAATAACAAAGGTATAGCCACCTGAACCACGGTACTGACTTGCTCCTAGACCGCTCCCTTCAGCCCTTCAACCCCCCCTCCCCTCCGGCAGTCTAAAGTCCTGTGAGTTATCATGTTCTATACAGTGTATAGGACCTGAGGACGCCAAGGGAAATACCTATGCTGGAGCGACGAGGCGAAAGACTGCAGGGATCGGTCTAGCAGCCAGCCGGGGTCATGGTTCGGGTGAGTATAACTTTGTTATTATAGCTCCCTGAACAAAACGAGCACTTAACCCTTGCAGTGCTGGGGTAGCCCCACTGCAAGGGTTAAGATTTTATTTGCCCGGAGTCCTGCTTTAAAGTAATGCATAACATAAATTGCACATTTTGTTGTTGGCTAGAACTCTCCAATCAGCAGGGGTATGAGGTGTGCTGATGGGAGAGCCCACTGCTTCCACACAGAGAGCAAGGGTCCTTCTCTGGGGCAAGCTGGCAGGGGACAGGCTTTTCTACTCAGGCTGTGGCCGCTTTAAAAAACTGTAACTTTGCAAATCTTTTGTTTGATGCACATGGAATGCATTGAGCTGAATTCAACTGCAAGTTCAACGGAGCTTTAAGAGATTAATTCTTCTGCAGAGTAGAGCAATAAGGGAGGAACGCAGCCAAGGCCACTTTTTTCACACGGCTCCGACAATCAAATGCATGTTCCTTTCAGAACTGATACATATAATCTGTTCACAATGTTGCCAACCCTCTCTCTCTCTCTCTCTCTCTCTCTCTCTCTCTCCCTCTTTCCCTCTCTCCCTCGCTCCCTCTCTCCCTCTCTCCCTCTCTCACCCTTCCCCCTCTCTTTCCTCTCTCTCTCTCTCTCTCTCTCTCTCTCTCTCTCTCTCTCCTCTCTTTCCTCTCTCTCCTCTCTCTCTCCTCTCTTTCCTCTCTCTCCTCTCTTTCTTTCTCAATCTTGCTCTTTCTCGTTCTCTCTCTCTTTCTTTCTCTCGCCTTTCTTTCTCTCTCTCTCTCCCTCTCCCTCTCCCTCTCTCGCTCTTCCACTCTTTCTCTCTCTCTCGCTCTTCCACTCTTTCTCTCTCTCGCTCTTCCACTCTTTCTCTCTCTCTCTCTCTCTCTCTCTCTTTTCAGAAAGCAGACTTACAACATTCTTTTCTCCCCGCACCAATGTCTTGGCAGCCAGATCTCCTGGCCATTCCTGTAAATCAGGTTGGCAGATTTGGCATTCTCTATTGTCTAAGCACAATGGCTCTTTCAGGCCAAAACAATTAAAATAATCCTTAGACAACACAGCTTGAATCAGAGGAATTCTGTATATTGTGAGAAAATAAACCAACAAGAGATATCCCAGGCCATGAGAGAAGCCATTTTATATCATGGCAGGGCTGAGGCCTCTGGTAGACGGAAGATGGGGGTTTTAAGTAATTTAGACATTTAATAAAAGAATCATTTTTCTTTTTTGTGTGTAAAATCATCTTCCAGGTCATAATGGGGGAGTTCATAAAAACTGGAGCAGACATAATGTGGAGCAGTTGCCCATGGCAACCAATCAGCTTATTTCCAAAGTTTAACTGAATAAACTGAAGAGAGAAGCTGATTGGTTGCTATGGGCAACTGCTCCAGATTCTGTCTGTCTCCGTTTTTCTGATTTCCCCCCATGATGTTTTTAAAAAAAAAATGTAAGTTCCTGTGCCGTAAAATAACAAAATGTCCCAACTGTACAGCAGACGGTCCTCTGTCCAAGCAACGGGTTCTGTAGTAACCTAAAGATGCCACCATCATGGGACAGTTTGAAGCAATGTGCCATCTGAACACCTTATTATTATTATTTGTTTTATTATTGTTTGTATGTAGAATATTATTATGTGGTAGAAGTATTATTATTTGTAGAAGTATTATTATTATTAATAATAATATTTTGTTGTTTGTCTCAGAGAAGTACAAAGGGCTTAAAGTGCAAAGCTAATTTTTTCGGGGGATAGAGGGTAGAGGGATTAGAACACCTGTCAGGTTTTATTGCTGTCTGTGTCCCCGTCAGGAGGATTCACCCTCTCTATTTGTCCTGGTGACCTTTTATTAGTGAAAGAAAATTCCAAATTTTGTCATCAGAACAGGAATAGATGGGAAATCTTCCAATGGCGACACTTGTTCTGGTGACCTTGCTGACAATCAGGGGTTTCCCTCTCATTGGTGGGATTTCCTCTCACTTCCTTTTGTGGCTACCAGGCAGGCAGTAAAGGGAAATTCCCCAGATGGCAAAAAAATGTGACCTTGTTTCCTAAATATGGGTGTAACATGAAACATGGTCTGAGAGGTAAACTTATCTGTTAAGATTTCTCTGGTTCCTATAGGGCCTCATTGTCCCATGAGCAAAATAACTGACTGCAAAGCATGCAGCTGTGTAGCTGCGCTGTGACTTGTAGTGCCTCCATATCGTGAAGGTTTTTTTGTGCTCAAGACTATACCTGTCCCCTTAACACTCATCTCTTGCACATAGGGTTGCCACCTGTCCAGGATTCACCCGGACAGTTCGGGTTTTGAATGCTGTGTCCATGTTTCATGGCAGCAGAAACCCGGACACAAGATGTCAGGCACATAGGGGCAACCAAAATTAAGATAGGGGCTACTGGCCCCCCACTGAAAATAGTCTCAACTGTGATATTAACATATAAATGGGCAGCTCTATTTACATAGGAATAATCCACCACTCATTCTCCTAAAAAAAATGTCTGCATGTCGCTTGAGTGTTCAGGTTTCACTTGAAGAAAAGGTGGCAACCCTACTTGCACACAATGCACACAGCAATGCGTTAATAATTCACAAGGTGTACAGCTGGTGTCATGTGGTCGGAGGCCGGGCCTAGTGACGTCTGCTGATGACAGCAAATATTCACGCCATGCTAAGACACAGAGCTACCTGGCAGAATAATACTGTAATATCAAAGCTGATAAGCTTCGGCAGTCTTGCCATTTTCCTGCCTAGCAGATTTGGAATGGAATTTTGTTTCTGGGGAAAGATGAGGGAGTCTGCTATTGTTTAAAAAAACAAATAGGGAAGATTTACTCTTTTGTTGTCCCTGGGGAAAAATTGTCATGAACCGAAAGTGAGGGGAAATCTTTCAATGGTGGTGTTCTATCGAATTCTACAATTTGTCGAGACCTCCAACTCCCGTCCGTGCGTCTGCGCAGCCACCCAAAAGAAGTATCAAGCTCTACGAACTGCGGCAGTGCACCTGCGCAGGCATCTGATACCACAAGCACCGACGGGAGTTGGAGAACTCGATGACAATTTAGAATCCGCAATCCTCGGCACTCCTGGTTGACTTGTCGTTGGAGAAGTCAACCAGGATTGCGAAAACTGTGACGGCTGGCACCCTAGTGCCAGCTCGCCAAAATCTACAACTGACGTGACGTCACGAGTTGGAGATCTCGACAAGTTGGCCACCTCGACAGAACAGTGGCACCAGTCCGGGTGACTGAAAGAGCACTTTCTGTAACTTTGGAGAGATTTACTCTCACTTCCTGTTGTGTTTTCAGGACCGCAAAAAACAGGCTGACGGGGGGTTTGACCCTTTCCCACTCCTATTCAAGCTAAAAGCTTTTGCTTAGAGCTGTACTTTAGCAGATATAAGTACAACAAAACTTTCTAAAAACAGAAGGCAGTTATGTATCATCATTTGCATCATTGATCCAAAGCACTTGGGATTTTTCCTCATTCAAAGCTATCTTGCTCTCTGTGTGGAAGCAGTGGTCTCTCTGTGTAGGTCTGACATGCCCCTGTAAGAGCTAGAGCTCCCCAATTAGCAAAGTTCATGCTCCATGCTGATTAGATAGTTCTGGCACTGACCAAGTAAGGAGCATGTCTGCAGAGAGACCACTGCTTCCACATAAAGAGGGAAAGCTCTCCAATCAGAAAAGTTTACACTCCCTGCTGATTGGAGAGCTCTAGCACTGACCAAGCAGGGTGTGTGTCAGAGCTCAGAGAGACCACTGCTTCCACATGGAACGCAAGGGTCGTTCTTTTCAGCATGCTCGCAGGGGACAGGCTTTTCTCTCACTGAAGACTGTCATGGAAGCCAGTGGGATTTAGTCACACCACCCAAAACTAGTTTTAAAGAGGCACAATGATGTGCACATTCTCTATAATATTTTATTATTACACTTGGCACGATTGACATGCCAGGTTTGGGTTTCACAGGTGGATTTTGGCTCCTGGCAGGATGTTTATAGAATGATATACGTGTTGAGTCTTGTACAGAAAAGAATGACACTAAATACATTTCTTTATAAGGAGTCTGCATGTATTTGGCAGTGAGATGGAGTCAGACTGGCCCTACATGGAGGACTAGGATTGACTAGAGACAATCAGAGCCTGGTAACATCCTGAATAATGCATGAGGGCAGATGTTCCGATCACTTCCTACGAGACACTGCAACATGGCGCTGACAGAGATGGAGAGAACATCACACACAAACAAAATATTTAAAGGAGTGATTGACCCCAAAGTGGTATTGTAGTTATAAGTAAAGTGCAATGGTCTAAGTCAGCCCCTGACTACTTTATGTCTTGGATATTCCAACAGTGAGATGTTCCTGCAATTCTGCCTAAATCTGTTCCTGTCCACCTGGGACTTTTTGGTGTTCTCGTCCACCTTTGTGTGGTCCAGCTCCTCCTGTTGCATTCTCCATATTATAAAATATGTCCAGCAGTAATCGTGGGAATCCCTCATAAGACTGAGGAACACAGCACAGGGATGGTGGAAAGCCTTCATAATGGGCACAACAGGTGTGCAGACCTGGGAACTAAGCACAGAGATAGTGAGACCCCCTCATAATGGGCACAGCAGATGTGTAGGCCCAGGAACTCTGCAGTGGGATAATAGGAATCCCTCATAATGGGCACAGTAGATGTGTAGAGCTGGGAACTCAGTACTGGGATGATGGGAATCGCTCATAATGGCCACAGCAGGGGTGCAAACCCGTGAACTCAGCACAGGGATGATGGAAACCCCTCATAATGGACACTGTAGGGGTGCAGACACAGGAACTCAGCACAGGCATCCCTTTGCTGTATCAGCCTTGTCCAAGCAGACAGGTGAGTGGCTCATGGATGAGGAAACGTCTGTCTTTGCAGCCATGCTTTATGTCTTGGATATTCCATATAATAAAAACACTCACCACATAACCCTCGCTGAGTCCTCCCTGTGTCAGACAGACTCCGTGATTGATAGCTGAGGAGCCCCAGTCTCTGCTTTATATACACTACTACATACTGACAGCTGCATTATAAGGCTGAACTCCAGGCAGACCACAAATACAAGGCTGAGATACACATATGTGAACTGTCATCATTCCCAGAACGCATCTAAACCCAAAAACCAAAATGTGGTATATTGCAGCTTATCGGTCCTTAGATGTGGTGGCTGCATGACTTTTCCTTTTCAAGCTATTTTTCCATGATCACCTGAATATCCTGCCAGTAACACACTTCCTGTCTTAGGGTGACAACACTCAGTGTACTCTATCTATGGGGAGCAGAGTTGTCACACTAGGAAAGGAAGTGTGATAGAAATACAGAATATCTTCCTCTATTCTCATCCCATAACATGAATGGGAGGTGTTCTGTAGTCCTCAGAGGATAGATAGGAACAATGGAACTGATAACACTCAGCATAGGCAGAAAGCTCAGCTCACACAATTTCTGGCAGGATTAACAGTGTTTTTTTTGCACTTTTCAAACAGAAATAAAAAAAATGCAATCAATATACTGTATATTTAAGCGAAGAAAAGGCACCAAATAGGAAAAGTTCACTTTTCGGTTTTACATACTTTTAAAGGAATACAGTGATGTCAGCTCACCAGTGTCACCACCCTGCCCTTCTGATTGGACAGTAAAGAAGCAGCAACACACTGCTCACCCTGCTCTCTCCTCATTTCATCACGTGTGAATGCAGCAGAGCCTGATTAGCTGCTAATGCTGCCCCTCCCTCTCCCAAGTCAAATGGCTTACCTTTTTATATAGCATCATATTTATTGTCTTACTTTAACCCCTTTAAGACAGGGATTGACAACTCTGGCACTCCATCTGTACTTTAACTACAAATCCCAACATGCCTCTGCCTCTACGTGTCAAGCCTGTGGCTGCCAGTCTTGCAATGTCTCATGGGACTTGTAGTTCCACAACAGCTGAAGGGCCGGAGTTGCCCAACCCTGCTCTAAGACTACCCTGTCCACAGGGTGACAACACTGTTTATTCTGCAGTGAAATCACACAGCGGGGTTGTCACCCTGTGGACAGGGTAGTTTTTAAGAGGCATCACCTTGTTACAGGAAGTGAAAATAAAGGATCTTACTAGCAGAATCAATAAGTGAAAAAACTATGTTATAGAGGGACGACTCAGAAAAACTAAATCTGCTCTGTTAATGCTCCTGGCAGACGGCATCATATATGTTATCTTTGATTTCACTTATAGTTACACTTTAAATCTGGTATCTGATGACTTGTACAGTGACAGATGAGAAGGCGTGTGCAAATCTGTTTTGTTATTATGATATTCTGTGAAATCTGGGCTGTCAACGATCCATCAGTCTGGAGATGTCTTGAGGAATGCAAGTGCTTAATAGCTCCCTGGTCATTGCCTCTTATCATGATGTCTGGACCATCCACAATGACGTAAATTCCAGAGACAAATCTCCAGCATGCCAAACATCCCATAAAGGATGGGGGCACTCATACATTCTGGAGAGATAATGGAAGACGGGCCCCTACAGCTCCACGTCCAGGGGTCACCAGGGATGGTGTGTGTGTAACTGGCAAACAGTCCATTCTGCTTGTTAATGAGCAAATCGTTGGGTGGGAACACTGACGTCTTCATACTGAGAGATTTCTTCACAATGCATGTTTTGTCTACTATACTATTACTACTGTACTATTACTTTAAATACATGTGCACCTAATAACTAAAATCTCATTGAAGCTTTACCATGTTAATGTAACTTTAAAAGTTGTTTTCCATTTATTTTAAAGGTTATCTAAGGTGACAAACTACAAATACATCTTTACTTTCTATATTGTATTTCTATATTGAATTTCCATCCCACTCCTAATAATCATATCCATCTAGAAGCGTGTAAATTTACTTATGGAAGATGCACATAGGATGGACTTCCTCAATGCACTGACACCATGTGCTTCCTTGTGACACAACTCTCACAGAACTTGCCTTCTGAAATACAATTCAGTGTCTAAACACTAACACTATCATTGCTTGCTGGAAGCAATGCATGATGGGAACACGTAGTCTTGAGAAATGGAGATTGCATCCCATCAAGCAGCAGGTAAAGCGATGCAAAGCACTCTGGGAATACAGGAAGTTGTTGGAAGTGATGGGCAGACGGTAGGCAGCACTCACTACATAAAAGGGATTTTTAATGTAAGCTTTGATTGCATTATCCAAAACAACTCTAGTATGTATTCCTATTACAATGCCGATGTTATAACAGGAGAGGATATGCTGGGACTTTACAACTCCTTTAAATCTGCAGCTTTATTAAGGTAATTCCTGGTGATCCTGCCATGAGGGTCCTTATCAGACACTTCTTTTTATGGAAGACAGTTGTCACTCTATTTTTCCTCATGCGTTGTCACCCTGTTGCATGCTCCCCTGCTGGATACTACAAACGGCCGTGCTGACACACATTGCACAGAAATGGTCCCTGTCACTGTCAAAAGCTGTCACTACCAGAACAATGATGTGCATCTATCGCTGGAGTGTATGCAGACAGTAAGTAGGTGAAACAGGCTGCAGGAGATCAGCAGCACTGATATGTAACAGGATAAAAAAAGATGAAATCATTATTTTATGGAAAAAAGGCAAACTTCATATTATCCAGTTAGACTTTACATCTATGCAGTACGTTTTGCATTGTCATATGTGGCGTAAGGAGGCGCTAAATAGATGCCGTTTGTGTTGACGGTTTATCTGAAATCTGATCGGTTTCTCCATTGTCTTGACAGAAACATGAGCTCAGCAGGCCCGGAGGGACGACAGGCTATGAGAGACTGTGACGGCCTCATCGACTCGCTCGTACATTACGTCAGAAAGAGTATCGCTGACTACAAGCCAGACGACAGGGTAATTCCTACAATACATTGTTGTAAACATCGCCGCAGCACTTGGGGGAAATGTCTTGTACAGAAGAAACTCCTTTTAAATTGTTTCACATTTGTAATCAAGATAAAACTGGGTAATATAAAACTGTATATACTGTATATAAGCAGGGGGTACGCACAGGTTTTACTCTATTCCCAAGACAATCCCAAAAAAAAACATATTTTTTTTTTGTGCATTAACAGGAACGAGAAGTCTTAAAATTCCTTTTTTCAACCTTTTTACATTTTTTTTTTCTCTTTGCTTTCAGTCCTTTTACTCTCAATGCTTTTCCTTGTCACTGGTTTAAAATGCACATGGCATATTTCAGCCAATATTATCAAAGAAGAACTTTAGATCCCAGTTTACTCTTAGACAAAGGCCGCATGGACTTCCACTGGGACATGTGACTTGTACATATAAAGAGTCAGTCTACCTGTTGCTGTTATGGAAGACAGTTGTCACCCTATTTGTCCTCATGCATTGTCACCCTGTCGCATTGTCCCCTGCTGTCTTGTAATAGTAATATTTAAGAGGGTTATTCACAAAAGGGTTTTTCCAAATCAGCTATGTTGTCCTTCATCACTTCTCCTGCCTTCTCCAAACTCGATCCAGGACAATCTAGGACAACATAGCTGAACTTGAAAGTGAGCTGATTTGAACAATTTTCCAGTTCAGCTATGCTGTCCCAGGTTGTTCACTTCTCCTGCCTTCTCCAAACTCTTCACCCTTTTGTCAATAACCCTAAGTGTTTGTTCCCAGGTCTGTATACCTTCCACTGCCTGGGGCCCCCATGATCATATCTGGAGTTTCATTTCATACTATGGGAAATGCATGAGGAAGAGCAGCACACCCAAACGTGGAAAAAAACTTCAAAGTGATCAGTCACAGTTCTGGAATCCCCCAAAACCACAATGGATGACCACCAGACTTCACCAATGGCTAAAATTGTCAATGGAGTTACCCTTCCATGCTGTGGGGAGCACATACTTGTCTCCTATGCCCAAGCCAACTGACAGCAGACATAATGCCGCAACAGAGCAGGAAATGTTTCCATTGCAACTTGATGGGGCTCATTGATGATTTTTTTGAAAAGTAGGTATGGCCACACCAGGGGTGGTTATACAATTTGTGCAACTCACTTCTATCTGTAATTTTAATACACACTGAATATGATTTTTTTTTTTTGTCAGCAGGTAAATGAGGGACCCAAAAGTTGTTTTTTCACCAGGGCCCCTTGGTGACTTGTTGCTCGCCACTAGTCCGCATTAAAGCCAAAATGTCTTTAATGTGGACAACTACAAATAACAACTACAACCATTTTCTCTTTTATCACAGGTCTGCTTAATTTCCCCCCATTTCAGAGAGTTTTCTATCTCTAGGGATGGTCATTTGTTGAGTTTTGAGTATAGCTAATTGTCTGTCTCATTTTATCTCTGCCCCCTAGGCCACAGAGAACTGTGTGTGTATCTTGCACAATTTGTCGTACCAGTTGGAATCTGAGCTGCCAGGCCAATACAGCAAGTATTTCTATGTACAGAACAGGGATCATGTTGCCAATGAAACAAACATTGGCTGTTTTGGTGGTCGTAGCAGGAAGGTTAAAGAGGTGAGTGCCGAGATACGGCCCGTTCTCTTATACAGTTCAGTTTATACAAACAAATACAACTACAAGAATAGACCGCTGGAGACATTGTCTACAGTATCCAATCAGAATGTTCTATTCATTGTTTAATGTATGCTATTAAAAGGTACAGTATGTTGGTATTTAGTAGGGTTCCCTCAACACCTCCTTCTTCTTCCTATAAATCTGTTTTTTTAGTTGTACCTTTCACTAACATTACACATCTGCATTAATAAATGCCTAACATATAACAATATACAGCACGATTATCATTTTTCATAAAAGCTCCAGCTTTTGTCATTAAAAAAAGAACATCCTTGTACACCGGGCCAGTTATTTTGCATAGGCTGAGATGACGCCAACAGCAGAAGCAAGTCACAAGGTGAGCGGCTGCAGCGGAGGCTGATCTGTGTCAGGTATTTTTGAACACAGCCAGGAGCTGCACGGGCACCAGGATTCAGGGCTGGTACAGACTTGTGTGATCCCAGGACCATGCGATCGTGTGCAGTTGTACACAGCGGTTGCCGCGTGGCCCCATTGATTTCAATGGGGTTACCTTTGTGGCAATCGCTGAAAGAGGGTACATGTACCATTTCTTGCGACACAGACAGCAACGGGTTTTTTCAACCGCAATCGCGCGGGCTGAATCGCGGCGGGAAACCGCATGATCTGCCTGGCGCGACTGGGTTGTGGTTAGAAAATAATGGCACCGCCAGCGCGATCAGCCGTGGGCAATTCAGTGACCGCGCGGCCATCTGCACGGTTTTGTGTATGATTGCCGCACGATCACGGATCACCCAAGTGTGAACCTGGCCTTAGATGATTGTGTCATGTCTGAGCCAGCATCTCAGTCTAGGAAGTAGATGGTGGCCCTAAATGATGCCTGAACAAAGATAGCTCCATCGTTCTGGAGAGAAAAGGAGATGAAGACATTGTTAGGTGGAGCACTGTGATCCCTCTGAGAGGTAATACATACCTGGAAATGTTACACTGACACATGCACTTAACAAGGCACATGGTAAGCGGTAATCTTTTTTAATGAACAACGCGGTTTATATGTAAAGTGTTCTTCCATGGTGTCAACATTGTGGTAGAGTTAGGTTCTACTGATGTTCAGACGCTCAGATCATCACTATAAGTGACTCTAAGCTACAACCTCACCTTTTAGAACTGTCCTGGCAGAAAACAAATATAAAAAGGGGGACATTAATGGATTTGGTTAAGCCTAATTGGTATGGGAGGGAGGGCTTAAAGGGCAAATACAGACAAGTGAAACCAATTAGTCACAGCTAATGCAATCCAGCACACCTTGCAACTGTGCTAAGGTTGCAGGCCAGTCAGTTTAACTTTATGTAGATAGCCAGATTATAATCTAACGCACCAGTTTATCATAACAAAATTGCCCATTGCTTATACTCCTATCACTAACATGCCCCCTATAGCACAAAGGAATCGACAGGTCCTCTTTATGGCGACAACAGGGGTCTGTTAAACCCCTACTGTCACCTACTGCCCCCACAGTAGCTGATGAAGCACAAATCATACTTCACCAGCTGTTTCCCCGGCCACAGCAGCTGGAAAAATGACAGCCTGACACCGGAAGTGACAAAATCATTGTTGCTTCCAGGTTCAGTAAGCAGAAGGGAGATCAGATATTGAAAGTGTGCTGATCTCCCTCCAATCAAGCAGCCCACACCCGGAGTACTGGTCCTGGGTGTGCACGAGGAACAGTGGAGCCCAAGATAGCTGGCAGTGGTGCTGGAGTGGCACCCTTTTTAGCAGCACACAAGTGCTAAGGTGGCTCTACAGCCGCCCGATCACTTGTATGTGAAAGCTGGGCCCTGGCTGAGAAAATTGTCTGTGTATATATGTGTGTGTGTGTGTTTGTGTGTGTGTGTACCTGGGTACCAGGGCCGGTGCTAGGATTCTTGCCTACACAGACAAGGTGCACTTTTGCGCCCCCCCTCCCTGACCCCGACCCCTGTAAAAACAGGGCATTTTGAAAAGTACTTGTACTTGTCAAAATGCCCCGATGTTTGCGCTATGGTTTTTTTTTTCCCCACTTACCTTCGGCGCGGAAGAGCAGCGTCGAGTCAGCGCTTGTCCGGTGGGAGGAGCTCCAGGTGGGGTCCTAATTTAGCTGGCCGGCGACTGCCTGAGGTGCCACGCGTGTCGGGATCCTCAGTACTAAAGTGATATTCCCCATCAGAATACACTAAAACCTTCACAATCAACACAATGGGGTTATTGCTTATCCTTTATTACCTTATTAATAGGAAATTGTCTGATGCAAAATAACATTATGCGTACAATTGTTCATTTGATATATTTGCCTGTTTTATAATTCTGCCTTTTGATCATTCAGAAGTCAATTTCAATTCTCCTGTCTTTACAGCAGTGGGGAGAAACCCCGGTGGCGGAGGAAATCAGCAACCCGCGAGGGGTGGAATGGCTGTGGAACTCTATCGTGGTGCGAATGTATCTGTCGCTCATTGCCAAGAGCTCCCGAAACTACACACAGGAAGCAGCCCTGGGGTCACTCCAGAATCTCACCGCTGGCAATGGATCGGTAAGGGCTGTCCTCCTTAAAGGGAATTCATATTTTATAAGATATGTATGTTTTCTTTGTTAGTTATGCTCCGTACTGAAGCAATTATAAAATTGTTAATCACATTTATGTAATAGGTTAGATATAAAATATTCATATTAGCTATTAACCTATGCTGGAGCTCTCTGTGGGCTCCCTCTTCAGCTGCTGTGCTGAGAACCGTCCTGAAATGAAGAAGATATACAATTACACAGACAGATGAATAACTCAGAGGAGCACGCCCCATCCCTTTTTCCTACCAGAGACTAGACTTGTGCGCCGTAAAAAAATGTGTTCTGTTTCGTTTCGTTTCGGAATATCCGTTATTTCGTATTTCGTAATTCGTAACTGAACTCAATTCGGATTTGTACGAAATACACATTTTCGTTAGTGGCGGTTATATTTTCATAACTTCAATATAACAAATGTTCGTAACGGAACGAAAATACGTCAACAGAATTTCGTATTTCCTGCTTGTATTGTAATGCAACTCTCAGCAGCAGAAAAGAACCTCTGATTGGTCAACCAAAACGAAATACGAATTCCGTTAACGGATTCCGTATCCGAATTTCGTATTTCGTATTTTAAAAAAAAATACCATCAACTCCAACTTGTATTGTAATGCAACTCTCAGCAGCAGAAGAGAAAACCTCTGATTGGTCAACCAAAACGAAATACGAATTCCGTTAACAGATTCCGTATCCGAATTTCGGATTTCGGATTTTAAAAAAACTACCATCAACTCCAATATAAATGTACTTTGCTTCTTAATTTTAATATAACGAATGTTCGTAACGGAAATACGTCAACGAAAATACGTCAACGGAATTTCGTATTTCCTGCCTGTGTGTGTAACTGTGTATTGTAATGCATCAGCAGCAGCGGATCCGTATCTCGGATTAAAAAAAAATCTTGTCATGTTGTTCAACCTCATTTACAGGGGTAATATTAGTTCCTGTTTCAAAGAAATTCGGATCCGAAATTTCGTATTTCGGATATAATTCGGAAACTGCCATTCGGATTTCGGATGCTCCGAAATTCGGAATTTCAGGAAAATTCGTACGAATTTTGATTCGTAACGAAACGAATCGCAAATGTCTACCAGAGACAGGACTGTCTAAATTAGTCACTTTACACAGGCTTCCAGCAAGCGGGAGAGTTGGGATGTCTTGGAAAGCCCAGACTGCTTTCTTAACATAGATTTTGATGACTGTTTTTGTTGGTTTTGTAAAATAAGATGTTACACGTAATATATAATAATATATAAGTGCTTAAAAGTGATACAAAAAATCAGTTTTATAAACGAAAATAAATGTAAAATGAAATTGACCAATAACAGGGGCAGACAGATTTTGGAGCAGCTGTGCATTGCAACCAATCGGCTTCTAGCTTTAATTTAGCAAGATTAACTGAACAAGCTAAAGCTAGAAGCTGATTGGTTACCATGCACACCTGCTTCAGATTCTGTCTGCTCCAATGTTAGTAAATCCCCCCTCCATATTATACATTCCCTTCAAAGGGAAATTACTCTCACTCTGTGTAGCTCTAGCCAATGTTTTGTGGAAGGTTTAGAACCCCTGTGAGGTTTTTTTTATTACTTTACATGCATAAGAGGTGCTAGATCTTTTATTATTAATGTCAAAAATTGGGAGAGGCCATCTTATTTAATAAGCTGGCACGCAAGGCAACTGCAAACAGAGGAGGGTGTCTTAAAGAGAAACTGAGCTATGTGGAAAGTAGCAAGGACTTTGCACCAATGGTGATAGAGTATTGAATGATCAATAATAGAAAACAGCCAATGCGTTTTGGGGGCCCACACATGTCCACTTCATCAGGGCATAAATGTAATGTGTAGTGCAGTATAAACATACTGCACTTATGTTAATAATTATATTTGATCTATGAACGTTTTCAAACCTCTTCGATTTTTCAGCCATTCATCAGTATAAAAACAGCTAATTATCAGCAAATTAAACCTTTGTCGCCTTTTAAATGTGCCCCCCAGGAGCACCTGAGACTGGAACGCAGAACTAAAGGGATATAAGGGTTCTTTCACAGTGATTTATGTCTGCTACTCTTTGGGCTTCAGAATAAAAATGTCTTTTCTGCCAGAAAACAAACCATCCGGCAGAGATGTGACCTTTCCAGTGTCAGCGCCTCGTAAAATGAACATAACACTCAGTTAAAGTTTATCGGTTGCTGTCAGACAACGACGACTGACAAGCTCATTGTCCTAAGGTGAAAATGCCAGAGGTAACCCCGAGCCACACTGGGGAATACAGCGTAGGTCTTACCTTGTCCGCGATCCCTGCTGTGTCCTCCGGCCGCTGCCGTCTTCCGGGTTCCGTTGTTTGATCGAAAGTTCCAATTTATCGAGTTCTCGGACCACCTGACTTCCGGTTTACTTGGAACTAAGAGGTTTGCCCAAGAAAGTTCTTCTGCACGAGCGCCAACCGAGGCATTGCCATATACACATACACATACATCACAGCAATGAAGTATTAAAATGAGCTAGGATCACAGTAATCCAGCAGGTTATTAATCTGAGTTGCCCCACTCAAGCGGCGGCCATATTGAGTGGGGCACCTGAGATTAATAACCTGCTGGATTACTGTGATCCTAGCTCATTTTAATACTTCATTGCTGTGGTGTATGTGTATAGGGCAATGCCTCGGCTGGCGCTCGTGCAGAAGAACTTTCTTGGGCAAACCTCTTAGTTCCAAGTAAACCGGAAGTCAGGTGGTCCGAGAACTCAATATGTTGGGACTTTTGATAGAACACCGTCCCTTGCGAGCGTCCGCGTCGCAGGGGGGCGGAACCGGCGGGAAGTGTGAAAGTTTTTTAAAAAAAACCCCGAAAAAAAGATAGAGAGAAAAAAAGGGGGGGGGAAATCATACCGCCAGGGAGGTATAAAAATGAGCATCGAACGCGCGTTTCACTGAACTAAAAAACGTGCTGAAAAAACGCGCATAAAACGCGCCTATAGTAACGCCCAGGTGTGAACCCAGCCTAACACATAATTCGCAATGAGCCCTCTGAACACTGCTGTAGACCCTTAAATACACTGTAATGTAACTAAATTGTTACATGTTCCCATTCACATTGCATACTTTCCAAAACAAGTATTAAGGGGGTTATTCACAAAGGAGTCGAAGGATTAAGCCGTACCTTCAGCTAATCCTTCAGCTTGCTGGGGGGGAATGAGTGAGTGCGCTTCCCCCCCCCCCACCCCCACACCATAGAAGGCCACATGG